AGGAGGAGAACGCTGAGACTACCGCCTTCCTCCTACGTTCTCTCTCTCTCTTCTTCGACTTCTACTAGCTCTCTTTCGCACTCAGCAGCCGATCCCTCTATCCCCCTTTCTCTCTTCTTTCCTTCACGGTCGCACTTCCGTTTCAACGTCAGCTAACTCTCGAGACGCCTGCCGCGCAAACGCCGCCGACAAATGCGTTTTCACTCGGTGCCGATGAAATGGCCGACGAGAAAACGTTCTCCACCCTTGAAAGGGCCGACACGCCGCGCCGCCGACGGTATACCCGCTGCGAGATTCCTCAAGACGATTCGCCAACCCGCCGGAAAGCCTTCTTCGTTGTCCTGAATGGCTTCTGGCGCATCGTAGTTCCGGGGGATGCTCGCCGCGAACGATTTCGCGTTGCTTTTGACGCAGAACGCGGAGCTTCCTGATACTGTTACGCTTGTATAGAGGATTCTCTCCTTTCGGGGAGCTTTCGAAATGTTCGGTCTCCAGGAATTTAAGAGTTTTCATCGGAATGCCTGGATTCGAGGGCAATCGAAGTTAATAATTATTTCACCTCGAAATTCAGGGTTTGGAAGGGTTGACGATGCGTCGAAGATATTAGGTCGAAAAAGTTATCCTTCGTTTATGCTGCATTTCATGCAACTTTTCAAATTTTTGAAAAGTTCTTTACGAGAAAACGTGGATTCTAGTCGCGAAGAGGATGAAAGCACAGCTGGGTTCGCCGACAAGCGTAGACGCGGCTTTAACCGATCAGCTGGCTATCGCCGGTACTCTCGCGGCGTGTTCCGCGGACAATGGGATGCTGCACCGCGCCGGTCGGGATCGACATCCCCGCGACGATCGTATCGGTGGGTATCGCGATGACTGGATGGTTCGCGCGACCTCGAAAACCGCGGGTCATCGCGTGGAAGGGAAACAACTGACGGCGGGGCGCGAGGAAACGCCGGAGAAACCTGTCTACCCGCAAAAATGGGCGCGTGCAGATAATGCCCCGGCGTATTACCGTTATTATGCCGGTCATTTACGTGCTGCGGACGACCGATGTTCCCTTTTCCCGTGATATCCCGCTAAATTCGCCCCGCGGCGGGAATTCTACGGACGCGTTTAAGCAAACACACTCACGCAACCCGGCCGAGATCTACCGGCGACCCGAACATCGATGCTCGTGGACCTACGATGTGATCGGTAGCCCGTCGATCTTCGCAATGATGTCGTGCCTGACGGGTTTTCAATTATTCCCGCCGCGGGACACAAAGCCGCCCGATACCGGGGAATCGTAATTTGCGAAGGAAAGAAACGCCGGTAGAGTTTATGGATCCCGAGACTCTCTTTCTTTCAATCACCATTAAACGATAACGATCGTTGTCCGGGTATCTACTATTTCAGCATGTTCAAACGTCACGGGCCGTTCCGTAGAACTACCCGATACGTCGCCGACATAAACGGCGCATAATGGTCGGCGCTAATAGGACATGAACTTGTCCAAGATAGGATCCGCCGGCGCGCGTCTTTTTTATCGGATTTAATAAAGTTTGCATCCCATCCGGAACCTGGTTTAAAAACCCTTAACCGGGGGAATAAGATTTTGTCGGGCTCGGGTCGTTGGGAACGAATGTTCGCATTACAATCCCCAATCCTGCGGCGGTCGCTATTAAATAATTATTGTGATTCGAGGCATGAGAAAAAAGGGGTTCTAATTACGACGCGCCGTAAACGAAAATCGTCGACCGAGGAAGGTTCTACGAGGAATGCGAAATGAATCGCGTGGCAATTCAGACATCTCGCGCGTTACACGCTCGACTGTCGAGACGCATGCCTCCGGGGGGAACGGCGCGGCTTGTCCGTTCCTGCGTAAATAAGGCGCGAGGAAATTATTGCCTGAGATAATAGTTTCCTTCACGGAATGCGTTTTCAATCGGTCTCTATCCGGGGATGGGTTCATTTGTTCGAACTCGAGCGGAACGTGCGAATTGCCCGCTAGTTCCGATCGTGTACGATTTCAGAATTAAACGTGTAAAATACTAATTGAAGTTGCACAGTGAATAAGTAATTGGATATTCGAAAGTTAATCTGACTCGTTCGATGGAAGATAATCACAAGGAATCCGCTAGTTCCATCGGGCGAGCAAAACTTACGAACAACAGGCAGTATGTTAGTAACAGCCTCTTCCCGATCGCGACAAATTTATTACATAAATTTATACAAACCGACCGATAAATCCCGCATGCATCGCGATTATCTTCGGCTAAAGCAACATCGCGTGCGCCTCGCTTTCGTATCGGCGTTACTGGGTCGTCAACTCCAGTGTCGCAGACAATCCATTTCTCCGGTTCACGACGATCCATGACCCGCGTAAAGTCACGATCTACGCGAGTCACGCGATGCAAAGGCGATCAAACTTTCGTTATCCCCTCACAATCGCTTCGAGATACAAAGCGTTGGTAATTCGCTACGTGAGCTTCTACAATTTACATCCAGATACAGATATATAACAAATATCTACATCTCAACGTCTTCCTTATTGACCTACTCTCGTTAACCATAAGATCTTCAAATCTAAACCAAACAAGAACTCATTCTTCCCATTCCACAATATCGAACAGTTCTCGTTGATCTATAGAAAATCTTAATTCCACAAACCCCTGTAGCAGACTTCGATCCAATCTTATCACAACCCTGTTTTAACCTCTTCAGTACCGAATCTTTCGCAAATCGAGCAACAGGAAGTCACGGAAAACACAAGGAAAAATATAATCTCCATTAACTCCAAATTAAAATCAGCCGATCAACCGAAGAGGTTAATACACCATAAACAATCACATCAAGAATCCTACCTTCGTCTGATCTTGCTGTTGCAGCAATTGTTCCCTGAGCAGCTGCAGCTGCAGGATCATCTCGGACAGTCTTCGTTCCTTCTCCGCGAAGCTCTCCGCGCACAGGACCCTGTGCAGGGCGGACGCCCCGTCCTGCTGTACCTGCGTCTCCGTGTTCTGCATCCTTCCGGAGGCAGGCGGTGAAGGCGCCACGCTGTTCGGCACGCTGGCGACGCCTCCGCTGTAACGTACACCGTTCGACCGTGGTCAATTACGTTCCTACGAATGTGTCGCAGGGGGACAGCGGCTCCGGTCATCGTGCCTTGTCATTTGCACGGGGAACGAGGGCGGCTGCTCCACTGGGTCGTAGGTGGATCGGCCGCGAACCCGCGGAGCTATTCGCGCGCGGGCAAGAGAGCTTCGAGCGGTCCGGAATGGTGTAGTGGTGGTCCGCGGTACACAGGGCTGGGAGCCAGGTGAATAATAGATAGGGTCGCGGCCGTGCAATCACGGCAGGCCGAGTGTTTGCTCCCGTGATGGGGTGGTTTTCTCTTTCCTTCCAACCCTGACCACCTTTCTCTCTCTCTCCGCCTCGGCCTCTCTCTTCCCGTCCCCCCATCGTTTCCCACTACGACGGATTTTTTCCCCCCACGGAGTGTACCCTCCCGGTAACCGCCCGAAGCTCTCGTTCCTCTTTTATGCCGGGGAAAATGGACCACGAATAAGTGATACGGACGCATTGTGCCGTGACCAGCCGCCGCGATGGGCTCCGGCGAGCGACGCAGCTCTGAAGGACGCGATTCAGGACGAAAGACCGCGGAACACTGACGGCGACGCGAATCTGGGGCAATATACGGTTCCGCGGGGCGCGTATGGTGCGCCCATGGCGTCACAGGGTCAGCCGTTAAAGGGACCGAATTTGAACGAGGAAAGGAAAAAATGTTCCGCGTGAAACTTTTAGACACTGGGAAAGATGAAAATGGATTGATTCCTTGTTGCTTGAATAATTGAGCTACCCGCTGGTGACTTCTTATTTTAGACGTCGATTGATAGAAGTTCTAAATGGCGTATTCATCGCGCTATTTCGGAAGATTTAAAATTTCGCTGGAAAACTTTCGAACGGCGCACGATTTAAGAATTGGCCGCTAAAATCGATAGGGGCTTCTACGTATAAATGCACGTGAACTTACGGGTGAATTCTGTTACCGCTGAATGGCGGCGAGATTGATTTCATCGGAATACCTTGTTAATCCCTTGTATTAAACGTCAAGTCAGAAGTGTTACGAAGAATGAATCGAATTTAATGAATACGAACATTCTGCGGCTAACATCAATCACCCGGGGTTCATGGATACTTAACTTACGCGCGAACCGTACGGTCATAATGAATACATCATTTCTTTCCTCGGCCGGCGTGTTATTAAGAATGAAATAACCCTGGCGATCCTGCGCCGAGGTGCGCGAGAAGGGGAAGGGTTAAATATAACTCGATTCTATCTCTAGAATTGCTTTGAATTTCAAACATTCCAACAAAAGTATGACGGTAGCGATCCTCTATGGACCAATGTACCATGGAAATCGCAAATGAACCGTGCGACAGGGGAAGAGGGCGAAACCGGGCGGGGGTGGGGGCTGAGAGGCTAGAAATGAATTCAGCATTGTACCCGGGGATTTAATTAGACGTTACACTGTGCACGTTTCTTGCGGCTCACCGTGCCGGGGAACAAAAATCGTGCATCATGAAACCGTTACTTATCGAAGAACGTCTTTTATCCTTGCGCGCTTATGAAAGACCCTTGCTGTGCGTGGCTTTCTTTCAGGCGATAATAACGCGCAGTGGGCGTCTACAAGATTCTATTCGCGCCTGTTGACCCCGAGTATCGTGCAACAAAAGGCTCATTCTGTTGCTATTATCATCTCCGCGTCGAAGACATTCGGCGGTTCTAGCTTTCTCCGCGACCGTCCGAAATGAAACCGTCGCCGCGCGTCCTTCCGTTTATCGGCTCGATTTTCAAGCTAACCCTATCCCCCGTCCGTTCCAAGTTTAAAAATAGCGGCCCCGGCTGATAAAGAAAACGTGGCGATTCTCGAATCCGATGACAGGAGCGGCTCGTCCCTGATCATTCATACCGCTAACTGGGTCATTTTCGTAACGTAAGTGCCCTCTCTTTCGGCTGAAAAGCGGCGAACATTAATTAACGCGTCTCGTCCACGATGGTATGCAAATGTTATGTAATTCATTCCCGGGACAAATAATTGTATAGCCGATGTTACACGGCCGGCAGATTAGCAACGATAAAAACGGCACCAGCTGTACCCACTTTGCCAGCGTAATTGTAATTTTTAATACCGCGTATCTCGCTCATTACGGTATCGTCAAAAGACGAATCAATTATGTGTATCGCCGCGGAGGAAGGATTACCGGAGGCACGGAGATCTACTGTAAATATTTACACAATAATTAACGCGAAACAGTTTCCAGTTTGATCTCGCGGCTTTATTTTACTTTCTTTCGCGCGGCGATATTTCTCCTGTTTTCTGTTTTCTTCTTCTTTTTTTCTTTATTATTATTATTATTATTATTATTATCGCGGCCCCCAAGTTTAATTTCAGTTGGAGCACACATCGGCCGAGCGGTCATTATGAAATTGATACTTTTATCTTCGGTGTGTGTACCGAGCGTGGATCGTTAAAACTCTCGTGCACGCGTGCCACGCATGCTGAAGCCCGGCGAGGAGCGGCGCGGCGCGGTGGACGTAAGAATCGAGTGTAGAGCGTGTAATAATAATATACGCGCGTTTTTTTATCTCGAATCGTATTCAATCGACGCGCTGAATTTATGGAAAGCAATTATCGGCCGCGACGCCGTCCATAGGATTCCTTCGAAAGATGCTCCCTTTATATCGCTGGGAAAAAATCGATCGGCGCATTTGATTAGCGCGTTCGCCTATCCGCGATGCTCCTACGCTCGAGTGTGCGTCTCGTGAATAGTGGCACTGGCCTAATTCGCTTCCTATCAGTCCCACTGCCACGCTAAACTCTTGGCTTCCATCGATTCGCACGATCCCGCTGTACAATTGAACGTTGTGCATTTATAACTCCGCGATCGGCTCTGTCCGGACGCGAGAGTGACATGCATCGTAATTCAGATAGCACCGTTCCAGAAACTGAGAGCATAGCATAATAGAAGGATCTTCGGAATAGGAGACACGGATACATTGAGAATGAACGTCGACGGTAGAACTACCGAACGTTTGATATAATTAATACGTAATCTTCGTAAACATTGTAACAGACGATTCGGCTTCGTTTTTAAGACAATTGCGAAATAAGGAAACTGGAACCGGTCGTTTGAACAGGTTCAGTAGTTCTCATGTCATCCTCGATGTTCTTGATTGCTACTCTTACGAGATGATGTATATAAATGATAGATGTATCAGCAGGTATCAAAGCATTCTATCTCAATTTACTCAGACGTCCGACTATTCTCCTATGGACAAACAAATTACGAACCCGCCGACCCTAGCAGCCCGTCAAACCGAAAGTAACCTTTGAATTTCCCACAATCGAAGAACTTCTGCATAGACAAACAGGCAGGCGCTTATTTCTACGTTTCCAATAAGCAATCTATCTTCCCGCGAAGACACCGGCGATCATCAATTACGCTTCGAGAATGAAAAAAAGTATCCGCCAGCGACTAAATCCGAAGATTAAAGCATCAACGACCGTGAACATTTTGGTCGGCCGCGGAAGGGATTAAACGGAACGGCGAGTGCCCGGTCGCGGCGGTGCGCATTCATCGCCCACGTTCCCATGCGCGTGCCCATAAAATCCGTCGTTTCGCGACGAAGATGACTGAGTGAAAAGAGAGGCGAAGGGACGATGATTCCCCGTCGAAAGGCATGCGTCACGGTGTTCATCGGTCATCGCGAAGGCTGCAATTTACTTGAAAACCGCGGATACCGATCGACCGTTAAACAAGTATTTTCGAGTGTCCCGTTATTCGCGGTGGGCCGGGGATGGGGGATCGGGTCCAGAATTGAATGTATTCCAAAAAGCGGGTGAACCTCGGCGGTAAGTGCGAGTCATCGTACAGTTGGCTGAATTTTGGAAGAATTTTGGCCGGATCCGCGCCGGTGTGGGCAGCCGGCTGGCACGATTCTGTCCGCTCGTTCAGCGTTGCCAAGCTCACTTTACTCCGAACGATTGCGCGTACACCGCGGGCCGGGCGTTTTGTTACCGTTCGGCCATTTTTCCGAGGCGATCCCCGACGCGGACACTCGATACATATTGCGGCCGACGAGGTTACGCGTGTCGCGCGGGGTTGTCTCGGAAATCGAACGGACGGCTCCCGACTGTTCCTCGCGGCAGGAAGTTCGACGGTGAATTACGTTCGTCCTTATATGTCCGCGAATAAACGCGGCTGATTAAATCGATACGGGATGCTTAACCCTTTGCCGCCCGGAGTATTCTCGGTTCTCCGCTCGGAAATCTGCATCGATGTTATTCAACTTGGTTACATTTTAACGCGACACTTTGGTAATCTCGTTAAGAGCATTCGGGGAGCGGTGAGATTGTAATTGTGTATGATGCGATTAGGATATTAGGAATAATCATGGTAGAAATAGGGAAATATTCGATAAATAGGAAAAGGTTGCTTCCTGTTCGAACGAGAGAAATGGCGGCCGTTCGACGGTGAGAACGATAAGTTTCCCTGGAAAGGTTCATCGATTCCCCGCGGAGAGTCGTTAAAGAAGACAATCGCATCTTTATTTATTGTATCGAATTTTACGCGGAACGGTTCGGAAACGAGACCGGAATCCGCGGCTCGCAATTAGACACGTGTGGATAATCTTTACTCTGTATTCTCGACTTTGTACATTGTGTGCACAGTGGGAACGGAAAAACTTCAGCATCGCCGTCGCGCCGATACAAAGAATCAATTCATTGACGGACCTGATTACATACAGCAATTATTATTACGTGACCGTGCGATATCGTTGAATATAGACTAATCGTTTCGGTACGATAACTCACACAGGCTCCAGCCGCCGGCGATTACTTCGACCGGTTTTATTTCTTACCGAGCTGTTTCATATCGTACGGATTCACCGAAGGAACGGGCCCCTCTCTCCTCGATTATTGTAATTACTTTCGGAAAAAATGCTGCCCATAAATATTAACGACACCGCTTTGCGATCGAACTGTCTGGTAGTTGGAAATCGAAGTTTTTGTGGCTGA